AAATCCAGCTTGGTTACAGCAAACATCACTTGCATGTACATTTCATTGGTGAGAACTAGCCACATGGCTGCTCCTGGGAGCAGGGTTTCTAGGATATGGAATCCTGGTTAAGCAGGCAGCTTCCTTCTGGAAAATTCATACTGTGAGGCAGAGCAAAACATTTCTGTTGTAGTCAAATTTTAATGTTTGATTAAAGACACTTATGTGTCTCCTTCCAAGTAGGACAAGTAAATGTGATGATATATTCTAATTTGAGATACATAGAGAATTAGAGTAACACTTTTTTTTTTTTCTTAAAGAAATGAGACACATTCATTATCAGAGACATTTCCAGGTGTGACAGTTTTCTAGGAAGAGGATCTGGGCTCTATCCCTGCTGAGAGGTGTCCCTCCGCTATAACCAATATCTTTCCCTCTGCCTGCCAGCTGAGACTGTCTAGAGGGATGATGCTTCTCCCTCACCTACCAATGAGCAGATGCACTTGCATGAGGTCAGGTGCTGCCAGTCTAGTGTGCAGACTCAGGACAGCATGGCCTTTTCCTTCTCTGGGTCTGGATTTCCAACAGACTCCTAGCATTTCAGGCAGCCCCACTGCCTGATTTTCAGCTACTCACCTACAAAAAATGGAGCAGTCCTCACTCTCCTCCCACCCTCAGGACAGCAATGCCCATGCTCATTGTAACAAGGTTCACTAGTCTGAGGAGTATATCTTGCATAAATTTGAACACTAAAGTCCTGTGTTCAGCTGCTGTATTGGTAGCTGAAGCAGCATCTTGTTGGGGACAGTTAAGACTTGTGAAGTAGTCTATATGAATTCCTGAAAGAGTGAGAATAACCCACTCTATGCTACCTGGTTTTGTTTTGTTTTTAAGATAAATTTAGTTTAATTTTGAACTTCTGGGGTTGATAGAGAAGGAAATTTGTTTTAGATGAACCTTAAAAAATATTCAAGATGGAATAGGAAACATGATTTTCTACAGATCACATTAATTGGTCTGCCTTGCTTTATTTGACATCATAAAAGTCTAGACAAAAGGAAGCTGTAAGAATGTTTTAAATTTGTAGTCAGGAAGACATTCTTATGTTCCTGGAAGGGACAGGGAGGGGGAATAGTGAAGAAAAATAGACAGAAGAACTGGCTGACAAGACCAAAAAAGGGAAAATGAATTCCAAAGGAAGGCTTGCAATTCTCAGGAGGCATGACATTGTCGGTGAACCAGAATATTCCAAATGCTACAGTGACAGCCTTTGCTTTATCCCTTTCTCACCAAGAGGTCTCATCTATATCTGTTCAGGCCTTAGTATTTTTTAGTGACATATTACTCCTTCTCTCCCTTGCTCCCTGTCTCATGGTCCTCCTCCCTTCCTTCCTCTGCCTTCCTCTTCTTCTTTCTTTCCTCGCCTCTTTCCTCTTCATTTTCTCTCTTCCCCCCTCCATTTCCTTCTCACACACTTTATTCTTCTCTCTCTGGGTCAGGTACTGTTTGCAGTGCTGAAAAGGATAGAATACAACAACCTGTAGGGTCTATTAACCCCATGTTAAATAACTGATAAAAAGGCTGAAAGACAGCTGGCATGAAGAGGTTCAATCATTTTCCCAGGGTGACTTGGGAAGAGTTGGGATGTGTCAAGGGCTCTGATCATGCCACTCCACTGTTCAGTGCCTTGCCAGATTTCCTATTGCCTGGAATAATGCAGTGGAATAAAACTCCACTTCTATAACATGGGAGACAGCCCTCTCCAGTAAATGGCCCCAACCAATTCCCCAAACGTATGTAACTCCTGCCATTTCCTGCAGGGCCCCAATAGCATCAACAGAATACTTATATTCCCTGAACACAACTGAGCTCTGGTTTTTTGTTTGTTTGTTCATTTTTGTTTTTGTTTTTGCATCTTGGTGATTATATTTATTGGAAGAGTTGGAGGGAAAAGTGCCATTTAGCTTAAGAAGTCATGGGTTATGTGCAAATCAATTCATTTCAAGAGTGGAAAAATCCTCAGAATTATTTCTTAATGTCAAAAGTATGCAGTTTTCTCTTTCAAATGCTTTGCACATTTAAAGAGGCAATTGTACAAAGTCTCCTATTTTCCATACAGGACAAATTCTTTGTGTCAGCCAACTTTCAATGGAGGGACAACCAGGACAGCACCATCTCCCTGGATAAAGAGCGTTGGAATGCTCAGTTTCGTTGATTTACATATCCCTTCATATGTTTGTTCGTCAGTTTCTATAGTAGCCACAGTTTCTTCTACATCTCCTAACATCATATTTAAATGTTGATCCTAAGCATGTAATCTGCCTTGAAGCTGTCAGTCATTTCCCATTTTCATGTAAATTCTCTCATCTAGGCTGAGCCTGATAAAATCCAGGGGCTCCTCTGTGGTTTTGGTAGTTTGTTGCTGGCCCACATAATCTGCCATGTTTCAAATCCTGCACCCTTCCCGCGGAACTCTTACAACTCTATGACACGTGCTTGTTACATAAAACCCTGCTTGTTTTATCATATCCTTCCTTGCCTAAAACTCCTAGCCATCCTTCAAAACCCAGACCACTTCTTTTGTGAAGCCTTTCCTGAAACTCACAGGATAAAATAGTTATACTTCATTCTAAATGCCCACAGGACAATGCCCATATTTCTATTATAGCACTTATTGCATTGTGCTAAATTATTCACATATGTGTCTCGCTCACTGGCCTCTGAAGTCTCAACAAGAAATACTGGGGCATTACTCACTAGCAAATCCAGTGCTTGCTACCTAGCTTGTGTTCACTGCAATGGAGGAATATATAAGAAAAGCATCACTGATACAACCTATGTACCATAACATCAGTAATAGGATAAAGAATATTAAATATATATATGTAAAAGAAGATAAGGAATGTTCTTTTCCTTCTGTAGTTTATTGATAATTATAAGAAATACATGTTCTACATATAAAATTATTAAAATGTGGGAGTTTACCATGTTGCAGGAATTGTCAGAATTTTCTACCTTTGTCCAACGTTAAAACACTTTTATATTAATATTTATGACCCAAATCAAATACTTTATACAACTCTATGTATGTTGACCCTCTTACCAATTTCTGACTTTTTCACTTTATTTGTAAATTCAAGTGTATATCTTTGGAAAATGTTATTTGGCTGTCAACTTTTTAAAAAATTAATGTATATATGTACACATATGTGCATTATATGGTACATGTTGTGAATATTCATTATATAGCACTTTATACTATATATATATAGTATAATAAACTATTCATATACACACAGAGATAGAGGGAGAAACCATATTTATACATACTATATATAATCCATACACACACTACATTGTCCACCACCTCTATTTGTATATAGTTTCCTCGTCCTTTGAGGCCAGTTGATGACTTTCAGATAATGAGACTGAATGGTAATCTGGGCCAAAAAATGTTAATGCAGCTACCAAACTGCTAATGCTCTTAGCCAGCAAGTGCTCTGTCACACAGTCCTGAGTTGAAGAGTTGAGTGTGTTCTACAAATTGTGTTTACTCCATTGAGGTCTCTCATGTCATTTATTTTGTGCTTGGGTGAACAATTTTGAGTTATAATGACTGACAAATTGTGCAAGCGACAGTGCGGGATCTGTCATAAAGATACCAAAAGTATTAAGCTAGAAGTCCAAATGCACATTTTATTATAGCTTGTGGCTTTTTTCAAGGAACTGGCAACTGTGTTCAAGATTAGCAGGCCACGAGGAGCTGATTCAAGTCTCTTAACTTATTAGAGGTATTAGAAGCATCCCTTCAATCTGGGAGGATTGACTTGGTATGGTCAGGTATGTCAAGACTTAAGGGATTTGAAGAGAAGTATGATTGAAAGGATTTTGTTAGAATGATCCCCTAAAATGTTGATCCTTTAAGTGTTTTAGGCCGTTGCTTTCTGATTCTTCCCCTCCAATCCCCTTTCTCTCCGAGTAAACAGGATGTCCTTATATATTGCTTTATATTCATTTAACTTGTTTAACTCATCTTTATTTCAAATTAAGACATACTAGATATAAGTTTCTTGCCTTTTCTTACGTTCACTATCTTTTTCTGAAGCAAGAAAGGTAATCATGATTTTTTTTAATTTGAAATGTGATTTCTTAAGAGAACCATAGAGTCAGTAGCTGTACATTGGAAGCAGAATAGCTGGGGGCGTGGAGGAGCACCAAGAGTTTGAAAGGGTTCCCAGGTGATTCTAATGTACAGTCAGGATTGAAAATCACCACTCAGTTGAAGATACATGTCTCTTGATTATATAAGGAGTTAGTGTTTCAACTAGAACACTTTTTTGGAAACATTACCCAGATAACTGGTTCTTTTACATTATTCCCCCTCCCACAATTGAGAATTACCTTTCCAGTAAATTCAGATGATGGTATCTGTTAGTTTGGCCCAGAATTCTCAAGTGGGAAAGATATCCTATAAGAAGCATGAGTGTGGGCACTCATTCGGAGAATGATTTTTTAATTAAAAAAATGACACATAATTGTACGTACTTATGAGGTACATAATGACATTGCAATACATATGATGTATTGTAATCAGATCGTGGTAATCAGCATATCCATAATTTCAAACATTTATCATTTCTTTGTGTTGGGAACATTCATTACGCATGCATGGAATTGCTTTCTCTATACCAGCTCTTTCCTTTCCCTTAAATGTTGAATGAAGCTTGCCTTTTCAGGAGATTAAAGAGATCTGTCTAAATCCCAGATATCTCTGTATTAGATAAAGAGATGGAGTGAGGATCCAGGCAGCTCTGTCCACTTAGAAAAATCTGGAAGTTCAGGAACTGTAACAGCACAGCTTCACTGCACTGCCGTGGGTGTTGCACACAGGTTAATTCATTAATGATTAACCACAGAGTCTGAATTGATGCAAGATGAAGGAAAGTGAAACCCTGCACCTGTGTGAGGCTTCTGCACTAGCTTCTACCCCAAAGTCTTACAGAAAATGTTTTTCTCCACAGGTTCGAACCAGTGTCCTACCAGAACATAAGGATCCCCCGCCAGAAGTTGGGGTAAGTGTTTCTTATGTTCCCAAAAGGCACACACGTTGCTTCTAAATTAATCATTTGGATTTTCTCTGGCCTCCTGCTTGGTGGCTGACAAATAAAATTGAATTACGTTAAGAGGGTGTGGCTCTTTGAGGAGTCACTGTCACATATTTGCTGAATTGCATGGAATTCATTTTTTTGTTTCCTGAAAAATCATCCTCAAGTGAATTCGTATTTAGTTCAGCTGGCTAGAGATGAGCCTAGATTTTGCCCTGCAGGTAGCTGAACTGTGATTCAGAGCCAAGATTCCTGGACCAACAGGAGGCGAGGGAAATTACAGATGTGATCTCTACCGCTTCAGGAAGGAGGAAGAGAACCAGCCATAGGATTGTGATATTTGGTTTCCTGCCACTTAAACACTGTAATGAAGGTCAAAAGAGAGGCAGTCACCACTGTTCAGTCCAATGTTGGAAAATCCTGCTGAGGTTTTCTTGCTGCACTGAACCATTGCCTCTCCAGTATTTAGAATTTAGAAGAACAAGAAGGTACTGGGTGCTTTCTGCTTAGACAAGGCTAGAGTAGGTGGTGGCAGCTCCTAAAAGATACAGCCCCACAGGCTGAATCCTTGAGATCTGTGTGTTCAGAGAGGAGGAAAAAGACTAGAAGTAAATTACGTCTAAGAAGCCCTGGGGCTGAGCCAACTGGAAGAGCTATTTGAAATATCCTGAAATTCTACAGGCACTTGACAACCTTCTTCCAGTCAGTGTGTAGGACACTGTACTAGGTACCATTCATTTTCTCATTGAACACAGCCACAAACTGCCAAGGAAGGACTCCAAAAATATGCACCAAAGTTTGACTCGACTGAGCATAATGTCAGTTATCTCTGCAGCTCTTAGTGAAGAAGCAGAGGGAAAAGGACGATGTCTTGCTCTCTCATGCCTAACACAAGCCTTTCATCTCTTCCTGGGGACTGATTGAGTAACTGCTTTGACTTGGGGGAATCCTTGCAGTTTTTCTGCCTGTCCCTTCAACCTCTTGTGCCACTCACTTCCACCACCAATCTCTGTGCTGACTACACAAACCATTTAGTTCCTCCAGTGCATCCAGAAAGTTCTCCCCAGCCTCAGGCCTCCACAGACACAGGCAGATGGGCTTCTGTCAGCCTGGACTGCTGCATCCCATGGGGAGAGGGCTCCCTTCCACAGCTCAGGGCCAGCTCACATGTTTCCACTACTACCACGCTGGGGCCCTGCTTCCAACAGGACCCTCCATCCTAAATGCACGCTCTCATCACACCCATGGCACTGCTTCATAAAATGTGAGACTTTTTAAACTATTAATATGGGTAATACATTGTTCTACTAAGGTGTTTCATTTATTTATCAAGGTTCAAGGAAGCTTAGCTGGTTTAATTTTTTTCTTCTGTGATCACTGCCTGCCCTGACCCCACTCCACCACTGCTCTTGTGTTGAATTCCCCTTGCTTGAAGCTTTAATGATATTTTGGCCCAATCGTGTAGATTTCTCCGAATTTTTTCTCTCACTCAGGTTCTTGGGAATCCATCTTAATTATTTTAAACCTTGAGTCTCTTATCTGATTTTATTTTCTTCTACCTCTTCCCACCATTTCCCCCTATAGACTAGACTTTCTGTGACTCTAACAGCGTGCAGTAGGGAGGAAGTCTAATGTGAGTCCCACACATGACCTGTCCTTTCTTCTTTTGATTCCTCAGTTGTGGCAGCAAAGAGGAAGGAGTAGGGAGACAGAGGTTTATTCTGGGCTTGCTCCTGGTGAGGGTGAGGTTTCCTTACTGCTACACTTGATGCTTCTCAGGCAGTGACTGCTGTTAGAGTCCTCTCTGTGGCAGATACTGATTTGCTGGCTCTCTGATGGACAAAGGTATAGATATTTCTGGGGACCTTGTCAGGTTCTCCTCATAGCATAATTGCCTACCATGGGGGACCTGGCTCTGGGCCAACTTCCTCCACTGCCCACCCCTACTCCATTCCCTCTTGTTGTGAGATCTACCATTCAAGTACCTGGCTCCAGGTCAGCTATTTTCTGTGCTATCCAAATACATGAAACTCACATGTACTTGCCATCCCACATGGAAGAAATGCAGGCTGTTCCATTGTGTGTTTCCTCTTTTGGCTCAGCCATCTCTCTGCTGATCCTTTCTACAAGCCCCGGCAGCATCAGGCACTGGATCATATTAAATGATTCTCAAAAGAGAGACAATCAGTCCCCAGTGGAGGTAAACATTGTTTAGACACCTCTAGGCTTTATAAGTGATTTTTGGTACCAGACCCTCTTGGCTTCAGCTCTGAGGATAAAGATATTTTCCTGGGGGATGATTAAGAGAGAAACTAGCCACATCTCCAAAATCAGACACCTTCCTAAATGCTGACTTCTCCTCTCTTCTAGCCCTAGCTTTATATTAACTGGGTGTATTGTGGCTACTTACAGACCAGCATCTCTACACTGGTTCCTCATCAAGTGTGTTAATAAGATTGCTGGCCTCAAACACTGAAGGTTCTCTGAACATACAATGGGGTACATTTATTATATTGTGTCTTCATCTTTGACAAAACTCGGCTATAATTCCTGGACTAAAAGAGAAATCTTGATTGGTATCCTGTGACATGCCTATTTTTGCAATTAGGAATGTACCCTAAGGCAAGTAATGTGACAAACTGTGGCTTAAAACTAATTAATGGGTTTGTTTTTCTCATGTTATAGAAGTCTTGGGAAAATTGTCCAGGGCTTCAGCTACTCAAAAGTGACTTGAAGCAGCCAAACTCTATCCATCTTCCTGGTCCTTCTTTCTTAGAGAACTGCACAGACTGGCCATGGTACCCCAGGTAGCACATTCTGGGTTGAGTGAAGAATAAAGGGAAGGAGCTCAGCTGGCCTATTCCTTCAACTTGGAAAACAGTAACTTCCTGGGACATTTCATTTTGTATACTGTCACTTACATAGTATTGGGAAGACCTAAGTCCTTAACTAGAAGAGAATCTGGGTACAATTCTTATTTAAACAAAATTGAGGTGCTATTAGTAATGAAGAATGGGCAGGAAGCGTGTTAGGTAGGCAATTAGTCATGTCTCCACACTCCTGCTAGATGTACTCCATGATAACAAGGTCTCTATTTCTAATATTCCTGGCTTTGTGCTTGGAAGCTAGCAAATCTATGATCTATGTATTGAATAAATCAAAAGCATACTGCAATTTTATTTTGCCAACCATTTTATGTATTGTTAGAACCACCAGAAATAAATGAGTGGGGGATTCTAGAAATGACTAATAATACAGTAAAAAATCTAACAACTTTTATGACCCATCAGAACTCAAAATGGCAAGTATGACTTCAGAACTAAATATCAAGCACAGTAAGAGTAAGTCTGAAAAAGAACAAGTCAGCATGCCTTAATTTCCTAACACCCTCAGATTACATGTTATTTTGGAAAGAGAAGTTAACATATGTTGACCACCTATGAAGTACCACTTGTTAATACACATCCTATCAGCGAATCCTCAAAATATTTCCTTGGACACTCCAAAACAGGTCTGAGAGTTTAAGCTCTTGGCCAAGGACACAGAGCCAGTAATGGCTTTGTCATTACAACATACAAGGGTTCTACTCTTCAAGTACTCTAATTTTTTTTAAAGAGCTTAGATTTTTTTATTGTAATCTTTCAAATATGTTAGGTGTGTTTCTTTTCATTCTCAAACAGAATTTACCGGATGCACCCAAATATTTTCTTGATGACTTAGTCAAGCAAATATTAATATGTGCTCTTAGACCTTTTGAGGTATATTCACAAGTAAAGATAAAATTCTATGATAAGTGACTTTACCTTAAAGTGCTTTTTAATGTTTCCTTTGGGCTATTCATCAACTTTTGATAGAGTTCTTCCCAATTATTTTTTCTTTCTGATGTATTTTTCAATGTTAATAGTTCATTTAGTCTTTTTCTCTTCCTGTGGGGTAGGAAATAATGTAACCATATCTGTTATGGTTTACAGGAAAAAAAAAAGTACCTGGGCTATGAAAAGACCTGTCTGTAGGTTATGCATAAGAGATGTTGTGTATCAGTCTTATAATACAACCTTCAACTTTTCAAAGACCTTTGAAAAGTTATACCATAGTTCCTGTATGTTGTTTTATGAGGATAGGTCAAAATTTTATTGATATATTCATTTGACCTCTAAACCAGCAGTGTTCAATGGATATAATGTATGTCACAAAATGCATGCTGCATATTTAATTTTAAATTTTCTAGCAACTGTGTTTTTAAAAAGTAAGAAGAAACAGGCTGAATTAATTTTAATATATTTTATTGAACCCAATATATGCAAAATATTATTCCAAAGTGTAATCAATACATTACATATTCGTATTCCTTTTTCATACTAAGCATTCTAAATTCAGTGTGTATTTTATACTGAGTATACATCTCAACTTGGAGTAGCCACATTTTACCTGCTAAAGCTAGTGGCTACTCATTGGATAGCACAGCTCTGGAGAGTAGTTGAATAAATTTGATGAGGTTCATGCAAATTGCAATAAAAACAAAAACAAAAACAAAAAAATAAATAAAACCTGTGCTTTGAATATAGGCTTTGTGAGAAGAACATGAATGATAGAGGTTTGGGCGTCTGTGGCCACATGTGTGGTGGTGTACCTTCTCTGACCCCTTAAAGGTGACTGGGGAGCCACAGAGGACCTGCTGCATGGAGATGTCAAATCCTACTGAGCAGTCTGGATATCTGTGACTTGCTCGGAGTGGCTTCAGGGACTGGTGGGATATAGTATTCATGTGGACACTCCCTCTAGAGAGAGGCCAGGGATTCTGACAGATGCCCCACTTTTTTTCATCCTGTTTGATAGTACTCTCCAGCCAGGTGAGACTGAAATCATGCAGCAAACAATGTAATGATCATCTGCTTTGGGGTTCTTACATCAGAATAACTGAGTGTTGTATTGTCATGAGCAGGCAAGAAAGGTTAGAGCTGCATGTTGTGCAAGCAGAGTCTGTCAGGAGGAAAGGGAACTGCCACCTGTCCTAGAAATGAGGCACAGCATGGTGGGGATGAAAGAATGCTGGAGAGAGAAGCAAGAAACCCGGGTTCTAACTTGGCTTCTACAGATTAACTAGTTCGGTGACATGTGTAAGCCAGTTTACTCTTAGAGGCCCCAGTTCCTTCATCTACAGACTAGCAGGGCCTTAACAATCCTTAAGGCTCTTTAAATATCCTATGCAATCTAATACAACTTACAGCTATAAGGGATCATAGGTAATATTTTCTCAACAATAATACTCATAACTATACAGTACCTTTTGGCCTTTGTATCTTTTTTCATCTTTTTTTCTAAAATGTATTCTAAGTTATATTTCCCCCAAATCTAATATTTATTTTTAAAGATATATTTTTCTTTTTGTAGTGCAGGCATTTCTTATAGACTCCTCAAAAAATACTTTGCCTTTTCCCAAAAGTATTTAAGCTGTGCATTAGATGCTTTTAAGGCATCTGACTTCTAGTTATATGATCTTAATCACTATGCAAATATTTATGGGAGATGTTTTATTTTCCTGGATAGATGTTTTCTTTGCCTGGATTACTGATATGAAAGATAAGTTATCATATACATTTTTTTTTCCAGCAACTAAGGTCTAGAGTAGTGAAGCAACTAGTTCAAGGCCCCAGACTTCATAAGGGAGAAGACAGGGAAATAAGAAGTGACAATGCTTAGCAGTAGATGGTGAGCCTGGGGGCTGCAAGAAGTAATGTAATTGTCCAGATTTTCATTTTTGAACAGAATAACTGATTTAGAGCCACGCTTCAGACCTCTGAGCTCCAACTCTAGTGAAGCTTTCTCTTTTTTGTCTTTATTTCCCCCGATAGAAACAGCACCAAAGGAGATTCAGAAAAAAATGTCGCTTGAATTATACTTAAAATATTAAAAAATTAAATAACTTATCTTAAATTATATAATTATGAGAGTGATAGCAAAGATACAATAGCTTTATATTAAATTATTCTTTTACACTAGCATCATGTGCTATAGAGAAGACTCTTTTCTCATTCATTCTTTTACAATGTGTTCAGCAAGTATTCACATAGATTAAAGATTTATTTTCTAACTTTGGGGGTGTGAGAATCCTGGTTTTAGTTATACTGAGGTGAAGAAAACAAATAAGAAAACCAGCTCAAAAGTAAATGTATAGGCAATCCCATTGTTTGTTGTTGCAGTATAAAACAATTGTCTTCACATTTTTTTGATTTTATTAATGTAGTTTATACAATATGCAGTCTTGATATATAGTTATTTTTAGGATTAAAAAAAGGATAGCATTGGTACCCAAATAATACCTCCTCTTGTTTGACAAGTTTACAAAATGTAATGGTGTGATGCCATCATTATCCAGATTGATTTTTAACAGATTTTATTATTTGTGAGCACTTTCATTATCCTTTGGGATCAAGCTAGTGGCTGACAGTTGTAATGGATAAACCTGACTCATGGGCATTGTCCTTGGCACACTGTATGCACTCACAGTGCAGCCCTCTGTTCCAGACACTGGGCTCAGCTAGGAGATGGACAAGCCAAGGTTCTGCTTCCACAGGAGCTCCTGGTCTGGTGAACAGGAGAAACATTCAATGGCTTGTGGTCATAAATTTTACTTGCAGCTGTGCCTTATGGTGAGTCCATAGTTTATGTCTGAAAATAGCAATTCCACCTGTCTCTAGCTGCTACATTCCACTGTGGGGTGTTTGCTACTTTTATTGCTAAAAAGACTGCAATAATCTCATGACATGTGTAGCCAGCTTTATTAATTCTAAAACCATCCATACCTCCAAAATCTTAAAAGGCAAATAGAAAATAATTTGCAATTTTGGAATGTCATAAAATTTATGATTGCTTAAAAGTTTTCTTTGAGTGTGAATAATGAGTGGGAATTTAATTTAAAAGCTATGATTATCAGTGAAAGAGAAAGTGAGATCAGCATCTCTTTAAAATACAAAATGCTAAAATAAAATTCACTACAGCAGTATACGATCTGCATACTACAAAATTGTTTTGATTTTCCACATTTCAGTGAATTACAGTGGTTTATAAATAGCTGCAAAAGTAACTTTTCTCCTATATCTAATAGAATCACTTACTTAAAGGCTGGTGTCTATGCCATTTGTTCATTCATTCATTCATTATCAGTAAATATTTACCAGTTACCTACTGTGTGCTGTGCAGTGGAGGGTTATCAGCAAACAAAAGAAAGCTCTTTGTAGAGCTTCAATTCTCGATTATTTTTTGGAGAGGTGCAAAATAAACACACATATAATATATATAATATGTCAGGTGGTCATAAGTGTCGATAGAGAAAAATAAAAGAGGAATAGAGAATAGTGGAGCGTGTATGTGGGAGGGGAGTGTGCTTCAGTAAAGGGATGTTTTAGAAGGCATCTCTGATGAGGTGACATAAACACTTTTACTCAGGAGGATCTCTCTGAGTCCCTCTCTGCCCTTGGCTGAAAAGTCACTCTAATTTCTGCATGCTTTGCTGATAGAGCTCACAAACTTCCTTCTTTGTCTTGATTCACTCTACTTCATCACTCATGGATTTATCATGAGAGCTTGTTTCTACAAATCTTCTATTTTTTGCCTAATGTTTCTCACCTAATAATTTAGTCTCAGATTTTTCAGGCTTTGATGACTTTGTGTCTAAACTAGCTCTTTGAACTTTAAGTCAATTAATTGGGTTTATCGTTAACAATATATGGGTATCTCCTTCAGAACTGATTTCTATTTTCTTGCCTTGCCTTGCCATGCCCTTCCTTGCCTTTCCTTTCCTTTCTTTCTTTTCTTTCCTTCCTTCCTTCCTTTCTTCCTTCCTTCCTTCCTTCTTCCTTCCCTCCCTCCCTCCTTCCTTCCTTCCTTCCTTTCTTCCTCCTTTCCTCCTTTTCCTTTCGTTCGTTCATTGGTTCTTCTTCTCTCTCTCTCTTTTCCTTCCTTCCTTCCTTCCTTCCTTCCTTCCTTCCTTCCTTCCTTCCTTCCTCACTTTCTTTCTCTTTCTCTCTCTCTCTCTCTCTCCCTCCATCTCTCTCAAATGAGATCTCATTCTGTCTCCTAGGCTGGAGTGCAGTGATGCAATCATAGCTCACTGCAGCCTTGAACTCCTGGCCTCAAGCAATCCTCCTGCCTCAGCCTCCAGGGTCACTGGGATTATAGGCATGACAGGTGTGAGCCACCATGACCAGTGTGTTTTACCAAATGTTTTATTTTAAGCTTTTTAGGACCAGCTGGTCTAAGTTAAAGATTTTAAAAGAGGGATAAAAATTCCAACTTCAAGCTTTTCTTTCCTCTGCCTAGCAATTTCTGAGTGTGGATGTAGCCATTCATGTATGAAATATTTTCCTATTTACCTCTAAAAAGATGTCGTTACTCTCAAATTCTTTGTCCAGCCTCTCATTCTAGTGCAGCTTGGCAGCAGACCTATGATGAGAGACTGTTCTGGAAGAAGTACCATTGACTTATTGTAGAGTATTTACATTTCGTTAGGCCACAGTGGCATAAGAAATAACATGGGTTTAATATTTTCATATTTACTCCTTGACCTGAAGGGAAGAGTGAGAGCTCTTTTTCATGTTATTTATCCCATAATATTGTGACTTTTAAATCAGAAGTAGCCAGGGATAGTAGAAAGAGATGATAGGGTTTTTATCCTGGGAAAGAAATAAAAAAACAATTTGGAGTTTTATTCTTTGCATTGAGTCAAAAAGAGTAGAAAGCAGATATTCAAAGGTCATCAACACCTAATATAATAGGCTAAAAAAGCAATTTAAAAAAATATAACTGAATAAGTGCCATTCTCTTTCGTGTATTAGAATGAAATTGTCCCATGCTAGTAAAGAAATAACAAAGGAAAAATGCTTTAAAACATTGCTGTGACGGGGGAAAACTAAAGCATTTCTATTTATAACTTGTACAAAGTCCCACATAAAAATAGCTCCAACTAACAGATTTGCTCATATCTGGAATACAAAGTTGTTGCTGCCAGTGATTTAAGGAATTCTAATAAGAGGAACAACAGCATTGGTAAATATGGAAAATATATCATCTTTTCTTTTCCCTCAGTTTTCATATGCAGAGAAAATTATGGTTAGTGAAACAGTTCTGGGTGCTGTATTTTACCTCTTGTTATTTTCTAGCCTGTTGATCTCTTTTCTTTTAGGGAAAATGATACGTTTTCACCCTTTAATCCTACCCCATGAGGTGGATATATTATTGATAATTTTATCTCTGTTACTGAAATATTTGTCAGGCTAATAGATTTAATATTTTATTCTTCTACAGACTAATTTTGTGTGATTGATGTGACAGCAAACATATTAAAGAACCTCAAGTTAATGAAACCATTCTCTCTGTTATTTTCAGCGAAGTTTCTTGGGCTATGCCAGTTTTAAAGTGGGAGAGCTACTGAAGTCAAAGGAGCAGTTGCTGGCCCTGAGCCTGAGGTGAGTCTCTTTGTAGAAACACTGTTAAAGTTAATAACAAGCGGTATTTGTTGATGGCCAGTGTGTTTGAAAGTCACAATTCTTGCAGATGTTAGATGTCAGCTCTCAAATAGCTAATGTTCTCCACTGCAACAAGTTATAGTGAAACAGCAATTATTCAAATTCACATTGAAGTTCACGTTTCAGGTTGTGAAATGTTGTTAGCCCTTGTAAGAAAAAACAATATTACATTATCATTAAAGTGATGAAATTCTTTGAAAGTAAGAAAGTAGATATAAATTATGATCACATTATTAAATATTTTTTCTCTTATCGAAATGTTACTTTTTAATCAAATAACTTTCCATATTTGAAATATGTTAGAGGCAATATCGTAGTTTTATGATAATAGAGAGTAAGCTGATTATTCTTTTCTCAGCCTATGTTGGTGCTATACTATTAAACATAAACCACTTAAACCACTTATCAGTTAAAACACATTCTTGACACAGACAATAGATCGTAGCTAATTCTGAGTACAGTTTGCTTTGAAATAGGAGATGAGACAACAGTCTTTAGGAAGTCACACTATTTTAATTACTAAGAAGAGCGTTAAATAAAATAAACTTTTCTTTTTAAATTCAAAGTAAATTTGAAAACACATAAATTTTGAAACAATTGTTTTCTAACAGTATAGTAACTTTCATAATTATGCATACATTGGGAATACTGCCTTGCACTATTTTTATGGTACAAATGAATACAACAATTGCATAGAACACCATTTGTAAATGTTAAGACTCTCTTATTTTGATGAAACATGGAGACCACTTTCAAGGAGCTGGACAATGTCTTAAGTTTGTTTGTTCCCTTCCACCAAGGACCCACTTGTAACCAACAATTTATTTCGATAAAGATGTGATGACTTATGCTAGCATCTCTACTCCACGATTTGTCTTTTTCTGATTTTTTTCTAATCCTGACAGCTCCTCATTTTGATTTGATAATATAATTTAAATATAATTTAAACTATGTAATACTTCAAGCAGAGAAATGAGTTGTGGATTCTAATGAGGCTGCCGTCTGCTCTAGCTTTCTTTAGGTTATGTCTCTTAAACATCTGGTGTTGGTGTTGGTGTTATATTTTGTATGGGAAAACATATTAAAATCTTTATGGTTTTATGATGCTATTACCAATACAATTTTGCTGCTGTTACTGTTTTCAGTTTGAAGTATAAAGGGTCAGCTAAAAAGGCTGGTTATCAGTGTCACAGATAACCTAAAAAATATCATCATTCTAGCCTGACTGTTGAATCTGACCCATATACCCCTGGATTCATAACAGAAGATATCAAACATTGAGCTGTCTTAGGACTCCAAGCAGTCCACATGTTTTCTAGATCAGATGCATACCATGTTCTTCTTCATCTTACTGACTCACAAGCCCCAGTATTCATTATGACATAACAGTCATTAACATCAGAAGCATACTACACAGTAGTACAATATTTAGACATTGGTTTGAAACAGAAATCAGGGGACCAGAAGTTCTTAGTAAAATGAAAATTAGTGAACACACAGTACCTTAGAGAGAGAACAAGCACTAAAGGGTCAGTTTTAGAGTATTACCCTTGAAAGAGAAAACAAATACATAAATTTCATATTTAGATGGAAGCAAGACAAATTTCTTCACTTTTTATTTTAATACCCCTGATCCTAGTCATTTGATCTTGATTATATAAAACAAATTCAACAACGAAGAATTGACTTTTCTAAAAAAAATGTAATGTTAGAAAACCAATTCTGAAAGGGCTAGGTTATTATTTTTCCCAGTTTTGTGCTTTGCCAAATTTGTGGTTTTCTCTCCCTATGAACCAGACAGATTATAGATTTATCATAGCCTCTTGATTTCTGGTAGATGGCTTTTTAAAAAAATTCTGATGTAATTTATTTTCTTTCCACTGATTCTGTCTCTTAAGTATTGAGTTAGAAGAGCCTTAGGTCAGCCTTAAGAAGCATTTTTGTTTTGTTTCGATTTTTAAAATGTTCCTTTGCACAGATTATTTCTGACTTTTATTTTATAGTCATTAATTTTGAAACAGTAAAATTCTCCGATTTCTGTAAAACAAATTCACAGAAGTAACAGCATTCTTTGATAATGAATAAAGTTCCTTTTCTTCATGATTAATTTTAGCTTCCCCAAATCTTACAGTTGTGCTTGTATTCACTATTTCTTTGGGGGCTTCTTATGTGATAATTCAGATTCTAAAACTTTCAAACTAATTCCACAGAGCACTGTGATTTAATATAGCTTCCATGTCATATGTGCTTTGAACTGGAGATCAAGGGCAGGGGATATATTGCTTTTATTTTTTTCCTGCAGGAAACTTAAAGGAACAAGACATGTGCATCTAATTTATAGATTTAGACTAAAATTTAATAAAATATGATATTGTGTATTTTTTAAGATACAGAGTAAAATTCGTCTATTTGTATTGGGGAAAATGCCTCTTATGTATAGATTGGTTTCTATTCATATGTCACCTTTAGTTAAACGCAGAATTTACTATGTTTTTGAGTGTTCTAGCATCCCAAATGGACTTGGGTTCTCTTTAGAAATATCATCTATATCTTTATATTACATCCACTCTGTTTCACTACTGTGCATTTGGTAGTTCCTGTCTCCTCTTACTTCTTTTTTATCTCAATTATATTTTCTGGTTTTGTTTTCTAATTCATTGCTGTGTAGTCCTGACTTCTAAACTTGTAAATAAAGTAGAGTTTCTGTATGGAGGATTATAATTATAGCTGTGAAAGACGCTTGATGATATTATAAGAATGATAACAAGGATGACAACAACAAACCATGTGCTTTGTGCTTTGATAATTATATTAGAGATATCTCATTGACCCTTATCAAATGAGATGCTATTCTTAATTTCCATTTCATAAATCAAGAAACTGAGGTATAGAAAGTAGTTAAGTAATTTGTGTAAAGTTATAATGCTCTTAAATGGGAAAGGCAGGGTATGAAACCACACATTTCTAATTGCAAAACCCATGATTTTAATGACTGACATTTTGTCTCTTTCAACAAAAGAGAAAACAGAGAACTAGTTGAAATTCATATTACATGTCACATAACTTAATAATGGCAGAACAAAGCAAGGACTGAGGCCCAGAATCAGTTTTTCATGGTTTCTTCCATGTTTGACTTCACCACCGTGCCTGGGCTTACAGAAGGTGATGCCTAAAAGAGTGGTCCTATGCCAGGGTAGGAATGTTAATCATGACGGAAAAGTGCGAAAGGGCCTACTAGTTTAAGGGGGGATTGAAGGCTGAGGGAAACCTATGGAATGTGTTCTTATCCCAGAACCATGACTGTATCCTGATCTCGATCTGGTTTGTTGCCGAAACACCTGACAATCCTTTGCTCTACCAACCTGACATAATTTTTGGGGGACTAGACAAGTAGAACTTTGGAACAGCGTAATAATGTCTTATGAGTTGATGAATATAAAAGTTAAATATAAAATAATATAAAAGTTGTTTCTCTCTGTGGAAATGATACTAGCAGTCAGGAAAAAAATTACGTTGATCTTAAAGTATTTAAACAACCACAGATGCAAAACAACAACTACAAAGGTAAAATTTGTTTCCTAGGAAATTTATCTCATGGAAGTGGGGACAGAAGCAAGTGTTCCAGCCTTGTCATGCCTTTGTTGTGTGACTCCCCACAGTTTAGATTTCACTCAGTGCTCATTCATTCAGCAAACATTTACTAAGAATGTTTTATATTCTAAGTACAGGGATAGAGTTAATATTTTCCCACTGATGTTACCAATTATGTGTTTAATGAAAAAAAATCTCATTATTTACTGAGCATCTGCTAGCATGCAAGGAATATGTGAGGTACTTTTCATGCATTATCTTATTTAATCCATGTGGCATTATCATCTGTCTTATAGCAACTTGTCTAAAATTCTACAGCTGCTGACTGTACAAGTGGGATTAGAACTCAGTTTGGTCTGACTCCAGAGGCTATTCTACTTTTATTTTACTACCTAGTAGGAAGCTCAAGATCTAACAGAACGTTTTCTTCCTTCTCTATTTTAAATTCTATTGTTCAATGGGTTTTAGGAATCTCAATTAATTTTTACTAATGTTTTATATTAAAATTCAATTTTATCTGCCTACAACATAGTAGAGGTTTAATAATTATTTGTTGGAGTTTCGATTCATGATGATTACTTCCTTATACTTTTATGGATGCTAAATATAATGCTAGCACCAAGACCTCATTTCTGGGTGTAATTCATCTAAATTGGTGAATATTATGCAGTATAAGCATTAGAGTATATCTGAGACAAGCAAATTTCAGAGTAATAGTGAAAGTTGTAATCTGCTTTAAAAGCTGAAAATCTTAGAATCTACATTTATTTCAGTACAGGGCACTTTACCTTGTCACAGAAACTTTCAGTTCATCTTAACAAGGAGTTTATTATTTCTTTTGTAACCTTCTACATGTCACCACACCCCTACCCCACCAATTAAACAAATTTTATATCATTTTATCAGGGTGAATATGATAAAAATTTTTCTTGAACAGAGATGTGCAAATATTTATTCATACAAAGGGAATATGATTTTCATTTATTACTTCTACTACATTTACAGAAGTGCTTTTTATGGAACAAATAACATAAAACACTGATGATCTTAAATGGATATATAATTACATTTTATAATATATAGATGTATGCAAGATGCTATGAAAGAAAAACATTTAACTTCTACTGTTTTTTAAATTTCTCCTATTTTTATATTATTTATGTGTATACATATGCATGCCTAGGTACGTGTATTATAGATTATGTGGATGAATATGTGTTTGGGCATCTATATCATTTTAGAACATTTTGCTTCCCCACAAACTATGAATATTTATTTCCTATTTTTGTCAAATGTTTATGCCTACAGATGTAAGATCCAAATTGTGAGGTTTTTAAGTTTTTATTTTT